GGTCAGCACCGGGAACAACCGTTTCCGCATTAGCAGGCAATCCCTCGAGCAGGCTTTGAACCTCGCTGGTATGCTCATCTTTTCCGACACCAGTGCTCAAGTATCCACTTCCGAACCAAATTTTCTTGCCCCCTTTGTTGCGCAAAAGCAAGCACCATGTTCCATGCTCCGTAGCCTTGCGTTTAAGGAAGGTCCACTTGGAGTTGTTGAACGCGATGCCTGTCCCACGATAACCACTTCGCGGTTGATGGGTGAGTAGGGTAAATCTCCCCCACGTAGTTGGTTTACTCCAGCCTTGAGCACACTTAGGGTATTCTTGCAGGAGCACAATGCTTGCATCTCCGTCTTCACGAAGACTATCAAGAAAGCTGCCTAATTTCACAGCTTTTGCTCCACCGATGTTCCACGAAAGTATGGTCTCATCGATGTTCTCCTTGGTGAAACGCTCTCTCGGCCTTTGCAGTCAGTATGAAATCGCAGCCTGCCAAAGCTGCTCTATCTCCTGCACTGACTTCGAGGTGGCTTTACTCATCGCCTCAAGGTCAACCCAGAAGCCCGGGCCACGGCCAGCAGCGATGTGCTCTTTATCCGGTCTGTTTCTGCTAGCACTCCCCAAGGTCAAAGACTGGTAAAACACTGTTCCACTCCCATACTCGCATTCGAGCGAGGGAATCAGGTGAGGGCAGGTCTGACGAAATACTTTCCGGATCTTTCCTGCATGAGCGCCTTTCTCGCGCTCAGACTTTGTGCGGGATTTACTAGCCCACACTCGGCATCCGTTCTGCATTCCCTCTGCTTGAAACTGCGCCTCATTGACGGATTTAACAAAGGGCGCCACTCTGCCCTTAGCCGCATCCAGGGACTCGGATTGTCTAACATGGAGGTTCGAAAGGAGAAACCCCCGTCTTAGACCTGTAGCAAAGATTTCACCATCCAAATACTTGGAAGCGCCAATCTTGTCAATGGCTCTCTTTCCGTACCCCACAAGGTCGTTTGTTTGGTATCCGCTGGCCAGCCTCCCATCACAACACTAAGCGATCTGTCAGGCTGTGTCCCGACAGTAGATGCCGCCGCAGAACTAAAACTTCGATTTTCCACAGCAAGGAGCCTTTGTTCCAACTTGTGCATGTGGGCCTGGACCTCTCTAACTTGTTCTCCCTGTCCTCCCAGCTCCTGCTTGACAGATTGAACCTCCGACTTGATTTCATCAATTTGCTTCTTGGTAGCAAGCTCAAGGTTCTTAGCCATCTCACGAAGATCATGTTGCTGAGCTTTGCGCAGGTCCTCCGTCTGCCTCTTGATCTCGTCTGTCTGCTGCTTCATCATCTCTTGGAGTGCCGCAAGGGTGACAACACCGTCACGCCCTCTTTTCGGGCTCTCGATTTCGCCGTCTGACGGAGCCTCTCGCTTGTGCCCACCAACCATATAGCAGTCCTTGTCTCGACCGCCGCTCATGTTGTAGATCTTGCGCCGGATCGGGTAGAACACCCTGTGCACGCGAAGGTAGTAGACCAGGAGCACCTGAAGCGCCGATCTCCACCACGGATATCAGGAGGTCACCCAGCCGGTCGAGGTACTGGCCGCCACCTGCAGCCGCCCTGGGGGAAGAAGCAGCAGCCCGCTGAATGGCTCGGCTCAAGGCTTTAGGGGGTTTTAGGGTTGAGGGTTTTAGGGTTTTAGGGTTGAGGGTTTGGGGTTGTTTAGGGTTTAGGGTTCAGGAAGTTTTAAGGTTGTGGGGTACTTGAGTCCAAAACGTTTAATACATGTGTACCGGAC